AGTATTTTAAAATTCTGCATATTTTGTCAAAATAACATAATATAATCAACCAGTTTCAATTATTTTTGGTCATTTATTTCAAAATACCTGTTGGCAAGTATATCTGTAACAATACAGACAACAAAAAAGATTCAGGAAATCTTTTTTTGACAAATAGATTCCTTACTAGGCATATTAATACCGAACTCTGAGTAATAATTCATATAAACTACAGTACAGAACCTTATTTCCTGCACCCCTCAGAAGCAGTGCAAAGGCTTGGGGGAGTCAGGGGTAATGGAGGAGCTGAGAGAGAGGGAAGTAAACTGCTGGGAAGGAGCCTGGGTGTGAACTTGGAGGGTTGTTTGGTATGGGTGGGAAATGTATTGAACAGGTTTTTTGGGGGGGTTGGAAGGGATTGTTAGGGAGCTTCCCCCATGCAGACCCTGGCTGACACCTAGCCTCTCCCATTCAGTCAGGCACATCTGTCCCGTCCCCATGTGGCCATGCGCTCCCCTCTCCCTGTGGCCCTGCACTCCCTGTCCTCATGTCTCTGTGCCCCCATTCAGCAACCAACTGTCCCTATGTTGCCCTGCACCTCCCTTCCCCCTGTGGCCCTGTGCCTCAACTCCCATTCACCCCCTGCCCCAGTCTGTTCTCCCCCACTAGCCCTTATGAGCCCCTATTTGACCCCCCACCCCCCCAAAAGCCCCATGCTATCTTTCCTCATTGCTCCAGTTTCCTGGATCTGGCCTGACAGGCACTGCGAAGAAGGCAGGCTCGTTCTCTTCCCTAGATGAGCTGCTGCTGTGTTTCTGCACCACAGTGCCCTCTGGTGGGCAAAAGGCAGAACTGCATCAACATTTCAGCAGAAGCTTTTTTCTGCGCAAAAAAATAAAAATATGCGCGCAGTAGCACAGAATTCCTCCAGGAGTAACCCATCGGAGAAGAAATATTAACTGATCACAGGATGTTTAGTTACAACTGCACCATTTTGCTGCTGCTGATAACTGAACTCTTTTGGTGTTCTTTTCAGGATTAGACTTTTAAGATACATTGGGTAAAATGGAGAGCATAACGTAGCTTAGTGTTCAAGCCATTAGGATAGGTGCATTAAGTGCAAAAGTTTATAAAAGTTTTTGATATGCTAATTTTGCTTCTTTCTTAAATTACAAATTTAGCATTTGAATAATTGAATAAATACTTGGGGATTTTTTCCTACTAAGGTGCTACATTCTCTGTTGCTCGGGGAACATCAGAAAAATCGGAGATGATGGTTTGTCGACTTTCCAACAACCAGAGGTGAGAAATGTGAATGGAAACTGCATTTGTTAAATCTGGTTAAGTTTTTAAATCTTTGTTTAATCTTCCCATCCCTGCTCTTCATGAGGGCTTGTATGTTGCCTCTACAGCATTCCTGCTGGTTTATGTGCTCTAAAATGTTTCCAGAATCAGCAAGTGGGTACATGGTATGAGTAGGGCCCTACCAAATTCACGGTTCATTTTGATCAATTTCATGGCCAGAGTTTTAAATTTAATAAATTTCACGTTTTCTGCTGTTTACATCTGAAATTTCACGGTGTTGTAACCGTGGGGGTCCCAACCCAAAAGGTACCCGGAAGTGGTTCTGATCTTCCCCTCTCTGAGCTGCCATGCCTGGCCCTAACCTAACCCAGCTCCCAACCTGCTGCGGCCAGGACAGCCCTCCACTGGCCCCAACTCTGCTGCAGCCCGGCCCCAGGCACAACTGGGGCAGCCTGGACCTGACCTGCCGGGGAAGGGATGCCTATCCTGCAGCCCCAGCCCTGGAGCTGCTGCAGCAGGGAGAGGGACTTCTCCCCACACCCAGGTCCTCTCTTCCTGCCATAGTCTTGAAGCACCCCCTTGCACCCCAAACCCCTCATCCCCGGCCCCACCCCAGAGCCTGCACCTCCGGCAAGAGTCCTAACACCCCTGCACCCAACCCTCTGCCCCAGCTCTGATCCCCTTCCCACACTGCGAACCCCTCAACCCTTCCCCCATCACGTGAATTTTGTTATGTGCACCAATATGGAGGTGATGTGTCATATTGGTGCACATAACAAAATTCATTCCACACATGGTTGGGAAAAACTAGAGGGAACACTGGTCCTGTCCCTCCCCAGCCCAGCAGGGACTCACAACTAAGAGCTCCCTGGCTGGGATGCTCCCAGGAGCAGGGGGATATCTGATCCACCTCCATAAGTCCCGGCCAGCTGCAGGAACATCCGGTGCTGGGCAGGAAGCTTCCTGCAGCAGGGGGAGGCACTCAGAGGTGGGTCTGATGTTTTTCCCTCCCACCCTCCTTCCCAGAGCTGCTATGCAAGGGAAGGACAAGTCCTGTCCCTCCCCAGCCCAGCAGGGACTCACAGCTAAGAGCTCCCAGGCTGGGGCACTCCCAGCAGCAAATGGGAGATCAGATTTCATGGGGAAGGGCTTATTTCACAGTCAGTGACACATTGCCGTGAAATTGGTAGTGCCCTAGGTATGAGCAAAGGGTAAGCCCTTTTGGGCTTATTGTTATATGTTGCATCATCAGAGTCTGGTTGTTTTTTTGCTACTGAAACCTTGCTGATCACAGCAAAAATTTACACTAAAAGTATGTCTGAATTGCAAAAAATGACCCATGGCAGTGAATGTGAGCCTGGGTCAATTGACTCGGGCTCATGCTACAGGGTTAAAAATAGCAGCGTAGATGTTCCTGCTTGAGCTGGAGCCTGGGCTCTGAGATCAAACCCCTTGTCAGGTTTCAGCCAGGCCTCCAGCAGGAGTGGGAATGCCTACACTACTATTTTTAGCCCTGTAGAGCAAGCCTGAGTCAGTTGACCTGGGCGCTGAGACTCGTTGCTGCAGTTATGTGCATGTGGCGGGTTTGTGTTTTGTTTTAAATTGGGGTGTTTTTTAGCAATGTAGACATACCTTAAGAAACTTGGGTGGCTCCAGAAATTGATGATGGAATATTATGAAGCACTTTGTACGTAAGCCGTTAATTTGAATCTGGCTAGGCAGGTAGTGACAGACTGTTGCTGTCTCCTAACTGGTTGTCTATAAGAAATGAATTCTATATACTGTGCCTACTGTACAGTCCACATGACTAGTGTAATTTTTATTTGTATACTGGTAGCTTCCAAAACCTATAAGGTGATGTACACACAAAGGAAGATTGTCCTTAGCCCCCTCAGAGCTTTTAATCTGCAAAAAACTTGTATCAGATGAATGCTGGGGATAAAGAGGTACAATATACAAGCAGAATCCTCAGGATGATGACAGGTACATGTCTTGTAAAGTTAAGATGGGAGAGGACCAGTGTGTGGACTAGGAGTTTGGTAACAGATACTGAAGAAAGGGTGGATTTTAGAGTTCTTCTGAAAGACGAAAGCCTAGTTCTGGAGTTGGAGAGGAGAATCTGCTGATCCCAAGGTTGTGGGGTTAGGTGGTAGGAAGAACGGAGCGGCAGTTTAGGGCCCCTTGCCTCAGTGGGGGATGGAAGTGATTGGTTGCTAGTGGACCTGTGGCATGCAAAAGACCAGGTGAGTGCCCTGTCCCTTTCTTTGGAGGAGAAGGGAAGTTCCTGTGTGGGAGATGAAACAGCGAGGAGGATACCTTCAGATAATTTTGACAGGTTTCTTAATTTAAACTCCTACAATCAGAGGGAGGTGGAGTATTCCTCTATTGGAGGTGGATAGGATAGAGGAATGGTTGGTTGATTGTGAATAAAGGTGAAAAGAAATCGTAGTGTAATTTTAAACAAACTGCCTGCTGTCTAGTATCGGGGGGTAGCCCTGTTAGTCTGTATCGACAAAAACAACGAGGAGTCCGGTGGTACCTTAAAGACTAACTAATTTATTTGGGCATAAGCTTTCGTGGGGAAGAAGTGGGTTTTTTACCCATGAAAGCTTATGCCCAAATAAATTTGTTAGTCTTTAAGGTGCCACCAGACTTCTCTGTTTGTTTGGTTTTTGTTTGTTTGCCTACTGTGTGTAGCTTTTGTTTGTTTGTTTTTGTTTTAACCACTTCGGGGTAGGTGCAGTCTTCTGTTGTGTTTGTTTAGTGCCTAGTACAGTGGGATCTCAACCCTAGTTGACCTGTAGGTGCTATTGGAATATAAATAATGTGTTGCCAACAGTAATGGGAAGGGTACTGGTTGAGAGGGCATGAGAGGAAAAATCTAACCATTGAAAAAATTATTTCAAAATATTTATTTTAAAAACTGAACTCATGCATAAGGTTCCGGCCTCCACAGAGCTGTGTGTGATCCTCAGATTATAGATAGTTAGACAATGTCTTTCAAAAAGCCTCAGTCACTTTCCCTCTTGAGGATGCTCTGCAGGAAGTTTTGCAAGAGGCACCTGGCAGTCTGGCCCATAGCTTTCAACTGGCTTTAACTGAAGATCAGAAGGTTGGCGGGGGGGAGGGGAGGAGTTTGAGTTTTTATTAAAAGCTTTTCTTCCTATCTTTACTGCTTGCGATTAAGACTGTAGTAATTAATCCCTGTGAGGTTTGTCTTAAAGTACATAAACTGTCAGGATACTGTTGGTAGAACCTGTTGTTTCTCTTGAATCAGACTTATTTTGTAAACTTGAAAACTGACACGCTTGTAAGAAGCAATGTTTTCTTCTGTTGTGTAGATATCTGTTTCTGGATGGAGACAGCCATTATGAAATTGAAATTGCACAGATTTCAACTGTCCAGATACTTACAGAGGGATTTACTCCTGGAGGTAAATCTTGCAATGAATCTAAACTAATGGTCATAAGTTATGAATTTGCAATGCTTTTCTTTAACCTAATAAAACAATACACCGTCTTTTACACTGACCACTCAGATATGGGTGCTTCATTTCACTCTTGAGTACAGCAGCAGCATTTGGAAGCCTATCCTTGTGGCTTCTGACAGTAGCATTTTAGGGAAAACTCAAGAATTCAGAATTGACTTCTAACCGTTTGATCCTCAACCCTGTAGAACTTTGTACCTTGAATCAAGTGACAGTGGACATCTTCCCTGCTGCCACTTCCCACTGCTGAACCATAGAGATGCACTCCTGATTGAGTGGGGGTAGTGGTGGGGAAGAACTTTGGTCATCAGAATGGAAAGTATCAGGACGCAGCTGTGACCTGCTTTTGCTTGAAGCCAACAGTATAAGGGACAGACTCTGGAGTTGATGAAAGTGCAACTGTGTCAGAGAGGATATTATCTATAACATGTTAAGAAATAAGAGTCTAACCACAGAGTGGGACCAATTAGTATTATCAAATTAACAAACTGTTAACTACATCTAACTGGTATGTGGTTAACCAAACACTCATGCAGAGCTTTACTTTTCACCTGACCCCTGATTGTGGCCAACTGAAATCTGAATGAGGTAACTAACTTTTACCCAAGTCCTACAAAATACGCTCATCAGGCGCAAACCCAGTATTAGAGTACACTAAATAAAAAATGGGAACAAGGATTTCAAAAGTGATTCTTTACCATTAATAATTTTGTCAAGTACGACTGGACTTTCATTGTAAATCTCACATCTGTGGAATGTGGGAGCAGTATAGTCACTGTAATTTCTGTCTAATGAACTAACTCCTATATTCAAATCAACCAAATGTGTGGCTATTTGAGTGTAACTTATTGCTCCTTTAATTTCCTTATTCACTGCTCTTCTGACTAATTTTTCTTCTCACTGCTTGCCTACCTTCTTGATGTAGAAAAAGATATTCACACTTATACCAGCCTTCTGGAGAGCCAACACATTACGGAAGGTCAGCAATGTTGTTGTGAACTTGATTCACCTGAGCATGCTGTTATGATGCCCTTTTCAGTGCTGCTTTCTTCCTCTCCTCTTTGCTGTCTACAGATCTTACTGAAATTAATTTTGGGCAACCTGTGTTTAAAAGTGTTAGATTTAAACATGTGTTTTGTGAGATGCCCTTAGAAAGAATAGGAACACACAGAAATTATCCAATCTAAATTCTAAAGTGGAGAACATTTTGACTATTGGAGGAAGACTTAAAATACTTCTGCCTTAATCAGGGCTCCCTTAAATCATATGTTTGTGGCTATTCCCCTTGCTGACAGGCACTATGCCACTTCCTGCTGCACAAATGAGTGGGCACTAGAGCGTTCACTTCCTGAAGCAACCAAAGTACTGCTGCTCAAGATGGGAGGATGGATAGAGCAAGAAAGGTGTGGATGTGTTGAATGTCCATTTATAGAATAAATGAGGAAGCAGAGGGAATGGGTAAATGGAAGGAATAGAATAAGAAGTGGTGGAAATGGAACAGAAAAGACTGTTCTCATAAGTCTTAAACTTGAGCTCTGGCAGTCATTCCTCATGGAGAGGCAATTACAGGGAACACTAGTCTTGACCTTGGAAACTATTTTAGAATATCTTTAGCATGCATCACTGCAATTTCAGCAAAAACTATCCATAATTAACGTGCCAAATTAGGGAAACTGAAACTTACACTTCATACAAAAAGTGACCAAAATTTAGTATCGCTTTGGAGTTGTAGGTCTATAACTAAGGCAGTTTAGTTTCTTCCACTTATGTCTTATGAAGAGAAAATACTGGTGCTCAAACAGTGTGCTATTGGGCCAGTTTCTAGACCAAAGCAGTGGTGAAATCTCAATAGAAATTATTGAGCACCAGTTGGAAGCTTTGTTCTAGTCCTCATAACGAAATATTGTAAATAAATTGATTTTCTTTAAGTATCTTTGGTAACAATACATGGGCAAGTGTGCATATTCAAAATGGATAGTTATCTTGCTATTCTGCTTCAATATGTGATCTTAACAGTTGTCTCGTGTAGCTGGGTATGTAGAGTATATGTACATGAAATGTATTGCATATGTAATTGGCATGTCATGAGATTTTAAAAGTGGATCTTCATAAAAAACCTTAATTTTGGACAGTCAGTACATTTGGCATGATTTGATTCTTAAGATAAGGATTGTCTGCCTTTTTGAGGGGAGAAGCTATTTATTTTATGCCCAAGTGGTGTGGGAGGGGTTGCTTGTTTTGTTTTGGGTGGAACGATGGGCTTGTGACTAAGTAAATCATGAAGAGCAAATACTGCTTACTATATTTGTTTTTCTCCTGTCTTGCTGTGTGCTGTATTGTTTATGTAACCTACTACTGACTTTTGCTTACTGGTAGATCAGATCAGTGTCATGTAATCATGTTTGCAACAATCTGAAATTGGTCAAGGTCCCAGTACAGTGAAAGTTAGGCACTCAGTTTTATAATCCAACTAGGGAAATTGGAGAGGGCAGAGGAATCTAATTGCTCCTTTTGCAAAGAGATTGAAAAACACGTTAACTCATAAATGTAATTATGGGGCATGTGGTCAGAAGCTTAGTGCAAGATTCTTTGTGTCTGGATTTCTCTTGCATAGTGGCATAAGGATACTGACCCCTTAGGGCCCTACCCTATGCAGATAATCTTTTCATTTAAATAAATGAGGCCTTTGTATGCATAAGGAGCATTGGATCAGGCAGGTGAGGTGACTTGCAAGGGGATTGGTTTTTGAAGGTTCTGGTGACTTAGTTAACCCTATAATAGTGTACTAAATGCCCCAAACAAAACATTACAGTATGAAAGATATGGCCATTGGTACATGTTACTCCATACTAACCTTTCTTGATTTTTAGGCTAACCTGATTTCTATGTGTGTTCCTCACTTGTCTTCACTGGATGGCCTATTAATAATATCATAACTTAAAATCACATCTAGAATATAAATTCTATAAGGTGGGGTGCTCTCCCACACAGTTCCTTGAGTGAAGCCATCCTCTGTGGCAGACACACCCCATTTTCTGATACTTCCAGGAGTTATTTGGCCTCACAGTAGGCTTCCACCATGAGGCCACCTGCCCTCCCACCTATCTGGTAGAGACCAGAAAGCTTTCAGTGCTGTGAGCTTGACTTCCTATCAAGCAAGGACCCCTCTTTTTTTAATTAAAATATGAACAATGGTTAAATCGCACAAGAATAACAACTTCCATTGTTTGCAAGCTGCAAGATACTGTGGTGAATTGCCATGAACTTTATTTTTAAGACTTTTAACACTTAAAAAAAAATTCCAAGCTAGAAAGATGTTCTTGCAATGTCAGGGTATAAATGGCTTTATTTCCAGCAATAATTCCCTTTGCTGCTAGCTTCCCTGAGTGATGTTCTGACAGTGCATTCTTGGCTTTGGGTTGTGGTAATACACTGTGGTTCATACTCACACAGTAGAGTACAATAGCAGCAGCTGTTAATGCAGGCCATTTAAAGCATTTAAGTGGTATTGGGAATGAGTTTTATATTGGTGATTATGGACAGAGCATCCCCTTCTTTTGTTTCTCAAGTGGTTAAATACTTTGTTCTCCTACTGCTTGTTCAGGACTCTACTTTAATTTTCCCTTTTCAGGAGGCAATACTCGTGCCACAGGTATGCTGCTGCAGTATAAGGCACCAGGGTCAGAGGAGCTCACACAGATGAAATTTACTGCCAGTGAAGACTTCAATTCTAACAAGAAGCTGTCAGCAGCCTGGCTAGCAGCTATGCATAAGGTAACGTGTGTAAAATACATTTAATGTTTAAAATTGATCACCTTAAGTTTGGTCACCATTTGTGTGCAAAACAACTAGTTGTGACTGTACTATAAATATAATAAGGCCATAACCCATCTTATACTAGATAGACCATACTCTGACTACAGGACTGGCTTCTGCTGAGGTCTAGAAAACATGCTGGGTTGGCATCTAAATGGGTGGGGGGAAACTGAGTGGTTACAGCAAGCAAGGGAAACTGTCTTTACTCTGGGGCTTTAATATTTGGTGGTAAATGGATTTCCAGATGCCATGGATTGATTGATACTCAGTATTTGACAAGATTACAAATTGGAGCCTTCACTTCTGAGGGTTTCATCTTGTATGCAAGTTAGTCACACACAAAAATACCAAAACCTGCATTAGGTTTCTCTTAGTTCTTATGTAATAATCCTGGAGTTCACTTTCATAACCAAACAAACACAACAAAAAACTGTAATATCTATGGTTAAGAACAGTGCACTGTGTGTTCAGACCTAAGTAACTGGGGGAGTGAGATAATACATAAAATATATCAAGCAGCAGCAGACAGGGCATGTTAATACACTAACAGAACACCAGATGCAGGGGAAGAACATAATCTTGCTAAACCTTAACGTCAGCATTGTGAAACAGTTATAAATCAGTGAAACCGGACCAGATGGCCATATCTTCCATACTGTAACATATTTTTTTTTAAAAATCAGGAATTTGGTTTCTCTAAGTTCCAAAGTTATCTTTATTCGTAATGCTGAATTGATAGAGGGACCTTGGAATACTTCATAGATTTTAAGAACAGAAGGGACCATTGTGATCATCTAGTCTAACCTTCTATGTTACACAGGCCATAGGACTTTCCCAAAATAATTGCTAGAGCAGATCTTTTAGATAAACATCCAATCTTGTTTTAAAAATTGCACAGTATTCCAGCAGCAGTTTCACAAGTGCCAAATTAAGAGGTAAAATAACCTGCTACTCCTAATTCAGATTCCTCTGTTTATGCATCTGAGGATATCAGTAGCCCCTTTGTCCACAATATTGCACTGGGAGCTCATATTCAGCTGATTATCCACCATGACCCCCAAATCATTCAGTCACTGCTTCCTGTATTGTAAACATGGCCTACATTATTTGCTCATAGCTGTATATGTTCACAATTAGTTGTATCAGTGACCTATCCTCTTCATTATTTACCACTCCCTCAACCTTTTTGTGTCATCTGCAAAGGTTTCCAGTTGATTTGGTTTTATTCCAGATCTTCAATAAAAATGTGAATCTGTTTTGCATTAACTAGAATTAGTAGTTGGGTACAGTTAATACTGGGGTATAATTAACTATACAGGGTGAATTGACAAGTAAACTAAGGAGAATAAACATCTGCCCGACTTGCAAAAATCTGTATAGTTCATAACTGCTCTGAAACACTACATCCTCTATAAGATCTGATTCCTGGGCTTTTAGAACTTCTTTGATTCCCAGCTAAGACTACTTTTTTTGTTTATCATCCAGCACAATGGGACCCCAATCCTGATTGGGACTGCTGGGGGCTACCATGATACATATGCTGCTCCAAATTGTTAAACTTATTTCACAAATCAGCCGTAACCTTAAGGAAATCCCAAATAAAATTTTAATTTTGCAAATAGATATTAAAAACAGCCATAACACATTCCGAAAGGATTTTGGTTTAAAGGTTAGATTAATGTTGGAAAGCAGAGTGGATTGATTTAAATCAAAGTGACACAAATCAAGTTTAAATAATTTAAATCAGCAAGCAGAAAACTTTGATTTAAATCTATTTTAATCTTATTTTGCATTTGTCCTTATTTTCGTAATAAAAAGTTTGATTCTTATTGGTCGGTAACCATTCAAACATGTTGATTTGCAAGTAACTTCCACCTTTACACTAAATATGTTGGTACTTTTTGCTGAGGATACATATCTGTACACTTTGAGCTATGTAATTGCAATTAATTCAGATTATTAACTTTTACATTTGTTAAAATGGTGACTGATACATTTACTAGACTTGGGTAAAGCTCCATTTGGATGAAAATTAGAATTAAATTAAAAATGCACAAATATCACTTTTTAAAATTTTTATATTAAATCAAACTACCTTAAATGTGCTGGATACATAAGAAAAGGGATTTTTCAATACAGTTTTGATATACAAAACTAAGTGACTTATTTAACAAAAGTATTATCTATACCTAGTGAGTTGAACTGATTGTTTCTGGTCACCATATCCTTCAAGATCTTAGAACTAGTAGACTAAATCCTCACACCTCACTTTAATTCCTGGATTGAAAGAGGAAAACAAGCTTTACTGCTTTTAACTCCTGGTGTGTTTCTTAACTTTGAACTAGTTATTGAACTGAACTAGTAGAACAAGCTGAAAAGAAAATATTTCCTATGCACCTGCAGAAGAGGCTACTGCTGTCGAAAGCTACTTTAGCACTTCAGCAAAACATAGTTCCAAGTGCTTGGCCAGTGACTTCCACCAACCAGTTCAGTAGCTTCCCCTTTCCCCCTCCCCCCTTTTAAAACTATGGCAGCAAAGATGTACTCTGTCAGAGAAGAAACTATATACTGGCATGTGTGTATTTAAACAAAAACAAAACCCTTCCTTAATAATTAAAGGCTAGATCCTCCTGCTTTCCAAGTGTGGGTCAGTGAGCACTGCTTATGACTGACTCACTCCTCCACACTCCAGCAAAAGGTCATAGCAACTTTTCCACATCTGCCCTGACCAGCCAGGTAATGGTCTCTGTATCCTAGATGAGCCTGAGACTGCCTCCGCATCTGATATATAGATGACGCAGGTTCTTAGATGCATTAATTGTCTGTTTAATGTGTCAGTCACGAAAGCCAAGAGCATACTACTGTAACCGTTTCTTTCAAGTGGCAGTGTGGTTCCTCCAAAAGGAAGGAGAAAGTGGCAGAATGAGTTAGCATTATCTTAATGACTAGATGGGTGTGTTACATTTATTTTAAGCTGCATAGTCTGAAAGTCAACTGTAATATTCTCAAGCCATCTTCCTTAAGAGTATTTCAAGAAAATCAAAATGCAAGTTCCCATCCCTGAAAGTGTGAATTGAAGTCCATCTAAAACTTCCTCAGTGTCCTGAAATCATATTGAAAGCTTCCACGTTTTCATTTAAGAAGTTCTCTCCCACAAAATCAGTCAGTTGCTACTATGGAAACTTCCACTTCTGTGCCATTATTAAAGCTGTTAAGTGGGAGGGAAGGGTCACTCCAGGCCTATTCTTCCTCTGATTCCCTTTTCCTGAACTCTAGAACAGTTAGTGAAAAATCTAAGACCTCACTGATTTGTACAAATATTTTAACATGCAGCTTGAGAGTATTCCTAAGCAGGAAAATAATAAAATTCCAGTAGGGAGCCTCAGCTTAAATCTTAACAGAATGAGGGACTAGAGCAGTGATACTCAGACTGAGGCTCTCAAGCCACCAATGGCGCTTGAATGTGTCTCCTATGGCTCTTTGCAGCACATGATCTTAAAACCATAACCACTCGCGATGCTTTTACTATATTAACCAAGTGTAGTTGATAAAGTAATACTTGCACAGTCATTTTGCTGTGTATGTGTATATAATAAAAATAGTAAATGAAACAATGAATTCACACTATTGTGACTCTTGGATAATGTTGATCACTAATTTGGCTCCTGAACCACTGAGGTCTGAGTATCACTGGGCTAGAGTGTCAAAACTGCCAAATCCAAGCTCTGCATGTTGAGATACTGGCAGTGAATGTTCAGCTCAGCTGTTACCACCTCTTACACAGAGACAGACAATCTAATCTTCATCTCTTCATTACTTGCATCTGAAGAAGTGAGGTTCTTACCCACGGAAGCTTATGCTCCCAATACTTCTGTTAGTCTCAAAGGTGCCACAGGACCCTCTGTTCCTAATCTTCATCTGTTGCTCTATTTGATATACATGTGCATAGTTACCACAGTAGCAGTTGAAGTGGGATGCAATCAGTAAAGAATTAAAGCACAGTAACATAATACTAATCACATAGTTTTATGGAAGAAGCCTTGTCACTCTCTCTTTTTTTGAGATTACAAGTTTGGTTGACCAAGGTAACTGGTGTACTTCTGTAAGGCATTTGATTTAATACTTTAGTACTATTCAGAATCTGCAGCACATAGAGAGCTAGCCAGTTTGAGATTTATTTTAAGTGGGGAATCATAGTCTATTGGGAGGGTTTCCAGTGCAATGTGTTCTTAGTCCACTGCTGTTCAATAACTTATCAGTGATCTGGAAGTGAACAGTCATTCCTGGTAAAGCTTGCAGATGATGCAAAATTGGAATGGTAAATAACTGGTCAGTTCCACAGAGTGATCTGAACTGGGCTAAGCTGGGCTCACTTGAATAACGTCTTTTTATGCAGCTCAAGGCAAAGTTGTACATCCAGGAACCAAGAAAGTAGGATGCGGGGGGGGGGGGGGGGGG